ACGCTTAGAATCAAATTGGAAGAAGAAAAATTTCGTAGAGAGGTATAGTAAAAATGAATATATATATTTATTCCATACATATATATATTTATATATATTTCATACATATATATTTATATATTTATATTAATAGATAATTTATATTAATAAATGTATTTTTTGTTTTTAGCATTGTGAGCACCTGATTCAAGAACTTCAAAAACGATTGCTAGAACAACAAGAGAAAGTTGCAGTAGCAGTTAGAATCGATAATGAAAAAAATGTTTTGATATCTCAATTTCATGCAGCTTGGTCTAAATTAAAGCAACAAGTCGCAATACTAGAAGTGGAGCATAAAAACTCACAAACTAATCTGCAAAATATTACAGAGAAACATCAGACTGAAATTTCAGATCTTCAAACTCAAATCAAAGGGCTTGAAGAAAAATTATCAAAAGCTTTAGACTTGGCAGCAGGATATAAAGAGAAAAGTGACATCACGATTAAAGAAAAAGTTGATTTACTAAAAACTCATGCAGATGAATTAGAAAGTTATAAGTTATTAGTCCAAGAAGCAGAAAATAGATATGAACAAATAAAGATAGAATTTGACAAATTATTAGAAAAAAATCAACAAAGTGAGCAGACATTAAGAACTGTTCAATCAGAATTAAATAAAGAACGTTTGAAAGAGAGTGAAGTACGAAGTGAGATGAATGTCATTCACAAAGCGCTGGATACTTGTGAAGCCGAATTGACAGTGCTGAGACAAGAAAAGGAAAATTTACAACTTAAATTGAAAGAAGAGACAAACAGAAATTCTATTTTAGAACAAAAGAATTCATTGTTGCTTGTATCTATTGAGGACGCTAAGAAAGCAGAGGTAATACATCTGAAATGTTAAACTATTTGTAATTAAGTTTCAAATTTATATTATTATTATATTATTTTATATATATTTTAATTGTTTTTGCGACTTTATATTATTTTAATTGTTTTTATTTTTTTTAGAAATTAGCTAGAGACGAAACAAAATCTATTGTTGAACAAAAGGAAAAAATCAGGGCAGAATTACAGGAAGTTTATCAAAAACAGGTCGATGAAGTGGTGAAAGTAAAATTACAAGAATTTCAAATGCAACTTGATACTGCTGAATCAGAATTTTTAGAGGAATTGAAAACAAGACAGCAAGTTATAGCTGAATGCGCTGCTAGAAAGATAAAGGATGTTATTGATAAGTTCGTTGCATATACATTTTCTTATGTACAGTACTGCAGTAAAGAGTATACAAATTAATTTTTCAAAATATATAGACATATTGAATTTTTTCAGACACCGTTTAGAAATAAACTTGTTGGAAGAAAAGCATAAAGAAGAGAAACGATTGTGCGAACTACAATTAGCTCAAGCTTTACAAAGATCGTCTATACTAGAAACGCACTTAAATTCTCAGCGTGCAACAAAATCTCAACTTGCAGAACAACTGCACTCTGTTATGCAAAAACAATGGCAGCAAGCTCTACATATTATATCAGGTAACTCGTGAAATAAATTTGAATTTGTATTATTTTATTATTTATTAATATTATTATGATTATAATATTACTGTTTGCTTGATAGTGTTAGTATGTACAGATTGCAAATTACAAATTACAGGTGGTAATACGGATAATTTATCTCCGATTCAAAAAATTCATGCAAACAAACATTTTGACTCTAAGGAGCCTAAAAAGTCTGAATCAATGCCAAATTGTTATACTAGACTTTCTCAAGAACCGATAAGATATGCGACTGAGTCGTTAGAAACGCAAAATCCAATACAATTGCTTGAAGATCAAAACGAAAGCGTGATTACAATGAATTCTAATGACAATACACCTTTAACTAGTAGAAAGGAATCAAATAATGATCTTCGAAAATATGTGAAAATGGTAATTAAAAGCAGTAATTTTTTATTACTAATAATATCTAAAAGATCGAATACAAATAAATTGTTTACAGATTGCAGAAATGCAACTAGCAAAGGAAGATAGGGATTTAAAATCTAGAAGCAGCATATCAAGCCCACCGTTAGAATGCAGAGAAGTACCGCGAAAGCATTATTTAAAAAAGGAATTAAGTATAATGAGTGAAGATAGCATCATGTGGCAACCAACTTCCGAGGTTTGTTTATATGTGCAGCTAAAATTTTACGTAGTACACACACATGTGTATGTATTTATATATTTATGATAACTTTATTCCTAGACTTCGCATGACATTAGTGAACATATACCTCTTCCGCAAAAAATGATTACGAAATTAGATCAACAGAAAAGCAAGCCGCCTTGGAAATGACGTGTAGCTTATAATAATGACGATACCGAAGGTGTGGACGAACTCGACTAAATCTGTTAGATCAATTCGATGCAGTGTACTTAATTAGCAGTAATAAAGGAGATTTTATAAGCAAGAAATATATATATATATATATATATATACACACACATAAATCAATATATCTCTATATTTTACTATGAAAAAAATTTAATAAAAAAGAATTTTTTACAGATATTTCGATTTATTTAAATTCTTACACTTTTGTATCCTCTTGTCATTTTTTATAACGAGTATATAATATTTTTTTCGTAGATTAAACATGAGAGAATCAATGATAAAAATATCTTTCTTTTTCCAAATCATATCATGACATTAAGTTTTATATTTCTGATGACATTAAGCTAATTATCGATTTAACATTAATCTAATAATCTTTAAATTGTTAAATTTATATCTTGATGCATGAGTTTTCTGGTAGCAAAATATTTTCAGCGAGTAATATAGTATTCCTATATTGTCAAGCGTGTGTGGAGGAAAAGGATGTTTGATAAAATAAACATCCGAATGATAAAATAAGTATTCTTGATAAAATAGACTCAAGACCGACAAACTGATAACAGGAAAATTTATAGCGAGAATATAGCGAATTCATTTTAAAATGATGACCAGTCTTATATTTAAACATAATTAAAAAACTTTATGTATACAAGATATGTACATGGAAATTACGATCTAGTAAACAAATTACGTAATCCAATAATCTGCGGTCAATATATCAATAAAATTATTTATCCAATTCACCCTAATGATAAACTTCGTGGTATATTACTCACAGAAGCATGTCGAAACTCTTAAACTTAGAACTAGATGACCTGGATAATCAGATCTAAGGTCATAAATCTCTTAAGTCTTACTTTTTTGTCAAAATGACGTAAACGATAAATTTCGAGTTAAAATTAGAGAACGATTCATTTTTACATCATTAATAAATTTCAAAAAATGCTAATATAAAAGATAATATTTTAGTTTTTTATATGTTAATAAATAATAATGAGAACTCAGATTTTGATACAACGGATAATTATAAAAAAAATATATAACAAAAAAAATACTTAATAAATAAATTAAATAATAATTAAATTATACTTTTTATTATAAAGCTTCGAAAAAATAGATAAAAGTGTATATAATTTTTACATGTAGGCTTCAATATGTATAGACTTCAATAAAAAATTTTAGAACTTTCTTTCTATCTTAAATAATTATATAAACATGTCTTTATTTAAATAATTATTTTTTTTCTGAAAAATTAAAGCGACATAAATGTAGAATTTAAATGTAGGCTTTATATATAGTATTTAATAGATTTATTAAATCTATATATTACATTTTATATTATATAAATTAAATAAATTAAATAAATTTATATGTATCATAAATTAAATTATAATAATTAAATGTAGGATATATATAACTTATCAAATATATATGTTATTTATATAATTTTTATTAAAAATAATATATAACATAATCCATAAATTAATAATTATTAAAATTCTTATAAATTCTATATAAAAAAATTAGTTTTTATAGCAAAGGAGCTAATCAAGATTCATCATAGATGCATCAAATAACATTTTATATCGATATCATTATGTTCAACACGTTTGCTTCGCACAAGTTGTTGCATGCTGATATTATTCGAGATATATTGTTACTGAATCACCGTTAAGATCGTCTATAGTGAATAACAATTGATCGATGTTACGTACATGCAATATATATATATATATATATATATATATATATATATATATATATATATAATAACAGAATGCGGCGCTGCATGTTTGAAAACTTATGTTAAACTAAAGTGCCGCTCGCGCATCGATTATATTACTATCTTTTTATCCCAATAGCTTTGACAACTATAATTATAATTCCATAATTATATTCATTTAATGATTTGCTATATCTAATGCATTTTAGTTATTAAATGTCTATATGTATGTAATGTTGTTTAGTGATTAATGAAGATATTAATATTTTTTAATATTATAATATTAGATTATTAATTGAATAAATAATATCATTCTTCAACATACATACAGATATGTAAAGGAAAATAAATATTTCTTTCGAAAAACATTATATATCGATATAACTACATCGACATGCATTGTATTTAGATCATGGATCAAAATTAAATCTATTTATTTAATTTGGATAAAGTTTGTTGAATTGCTACAAACATATCGATGATCGTAAATCATCTCCGTTTATGTAAAATTGTCTTTATTTTTATGACTGCATTACAATCGTAAAATCACTTCGTCGATCATCATTTAGCACGTTTTATGAGAAATGACACGCTCGTAAATTCTACAATAATAATTTTAAAATCGTCCTATAGTGAAAGGGTTGCAAGATATTCTTGTGCATCGTATTTTTTGCTGATATCGAACCGGAAAATGTTAATAAGGAAACGAAACGAGCGAATCGCACGCAGCGCGAGCACGTTTCTTCAGCTATAAATGACGATCACACGCCTACGAGTCCTGGCGCCAGTTATGAGAATTCTATGCGTGGAACAAGTTGCCGATTGAAAACGAAAGAGCAGCAAGAATGCAAAGGGAGGAACGTGATAGTGGCCACCCCCTCTTCGTTCATGTAGTAATAGTCATGAGTCGCATCCATTCTTCGTGCGCTATGTACGTGGCCTTTAGTCGCCTCGACAGTCGAGAAGAAACCGTGTTGCGCGCAATCTCAGCTAGCTAGTTCGTGCGTGATCTCGTGAACGGAATCTGAATGCATGGCAAAGATGCATCCTGGTACGAGACGACGTTTGAGATTCTGTTGGATAACAATAGCGCTGCTCGTCGGTCTTCTTGTCAATGCCTCCGGCGGTGTTTGGAAGAGACGAGAGGATAAGACCAAGTGTCCAAAAGTGAAGGGCATACGCAACTTTGATATATCCGAGGTACGAGATTACTCGTCACCTACGCGGCGCGAGATCACTATAGTCGAGATAAAAAGTTTCACACATTTCCTTCTGATATGTACAATTGTCTTTCACAATGCTCTTCCGACTATGAAAGATTATTAAAAAGAGACTTCTATATTTATTTTATATATGTTTCTCTTTTTTATATTCTTTTGCATTATACATATATGTATATATTATTGCGCGATATTTTCATATAGATAGGTCAATAAATTAAACGTGCATATATATTTCCGAAAAACTGCACAGAAAAAAAATAAATATCAAATTAAAACTTATATACTTAAACTAATGCGTTCGTTATTTCGTATATACATAACAATTTATCTTTTTGGAAGAATTTAATAATTTTAAATTTCAACAATATTATAGTCTTATTTTAATATTGTAATTGTCACCTCAAGAATATATAATTATTTAATTCTACTTTAAGAAAATTATAATCTTTGATTTAAAAATGTTATTATCTATCTAACATTGTTTCTTTTCTACTCGAGAAAATTAAATCTTAAATCATAAGAATATATTTTTCTCGATTGAACTATATAAAATGGCTTCATTCGAGTAAGCAATTATTCAAGCAATTATATTTTTCTTTAATTAACGCAATATAATCTCATTTCAAGATTTCCATGTTAAAACTAAATATATTTTCAAAACAAGAATGTTCTTTTTTTCTGAGTGTGGATTTTTACAGTTACGAATTATACAAATCATTTTTGCGAACATATCAATGTTTTACTGTTGTAATTATAGATTCGCTTATTTTTCCTCACTATGCTTTTTTATTTCTACTAAAAAATGTTAATTAAAATATGTGGAAATAGAAGATATAAAGTGATCTGGAAATAGATGAGATAGAAAGATATTCTAAAAGCAAATATTTTTAATTTATATAGTTTAACGAAGAATTAATTTGCCGAAAAATATATAAAAAATATATAAAATATAAACAATATATATATATATATATATATATATTGTTTATATTTTATATATTTTTTATATATTTTTATATATATATATAATAATATTTTATATTATATATATATATATATATATATATATATATATATATATATAATTAATTCTATATCTGTGGAGAAAAATTTGTTACTATAAAATTAGTTCTTAGTAATTAAAATTTCTTGATATAATTACAATTACTTTTATATAAATCGCAATTAATTTCTCCGTATTATTTGTAACATTTGATATTGTCCAATAATTTATAACGCTTTTTGCTGATTGCAATTTAAATTCATAACTTTGTTGCATAATTTCACTGTTATTTACGCGGATACATTGTTTGATGTGTTTCATTCAATACATGATATATTACTATGAAACAATATGAAGTACACGCATTGATATATTATCCACTGTTGATGTGGCTTTGAAAATGGATATAATCAATGAACATTTATATCGTTGTCGAATATGTCGGTCGAATATTAATTGCACAGAGTGCAATCCATGACTATATTTATTAGGCGCAATATGTCGGGTTTGTGTAATAGTAATAGAGATTATTATTTGTCACATAATTAACAATAGTCGGTGTGAGATGAAATAGAACATAATAATCCCTATGACGTTGACATTCCTATCGATAAACCGCAATTCTACGCATGATGCATATTGCATCATGTTATTAACTTTTCGATAAATTTTGAATTAGATATATGGGATTAATAATTACAATTGAACATATTAATAATTGTACATATATGAAACTAGCATATTTTTCTGTGAAAATTCATAAATTATTAGGAATCTTAATTTCATTTTTAATAGTTCTTGACAGTTGAGAGAATTAATTTTGGCCATTAAAAAATTGCAATCAGTAGAACAAAGACATCAAGCTCACGCAGTTTTGCCTTCTGCGAAACTTTCTTTATTATTTTTCGTCAGATTTTATGCCAGTTTCATACACAAATGTAAATATTAAATATAAAAGATACAGTATGATTATTTTAATTAATAAATAAATTCAATAAATAAATTGATAAGTAATCTTAATAATAAAAACTATATGTATACAATATGATTTAGATTTTTTGTTTGTGATTATAAATTCGTCATATTATGCAAATTTTGCATATTTTATTTTTGGTTTAAATATTCATTTTTTAATTAGAAAATTACAACTAATCAAATTATAAAAAATATTTACGGCAATTCTTTAATAATGAAAAATTGTTTTACTATAAATCGATAACTTGTTGTAAATTCAAATATACTATTTAAAAATTGCGAGTGAAGCGTATCTCTAATGTATATCTAATGTTCAATATAAAGTGTTTATAATTAATCATCTAATAAATTTCATATAAAACAAACACATATAATATATAAATATTTATAATTTTATTTGATGTATATCATTCATATATATAGTAGTTCCAATTTACTGGCCTTGCATTTGCAGAGATTCTCTTTTCAGGGTAATGTTTAGCAGATTTATTTTTAGATTGGAAGACTATTTCGGGACATGTGCTACGTATATATGATATTCTGCATACAACCAACTTCCGTTGAGTTTCTTTTTTTTCAAAAATAATGATAAATACACTTCAAGATGAAATAAAATATGTGTGTGTCAATTTTTAATCTTTATATTTCATTCTCATTTTAATCCTTGCGTTTGTTTTTCAAAATTACAGAGTAAACGGAAAATATAAAAATCATTTATACATTTATTTAGAGACTGAATTTTAATTTCTTTTACTAGACATATATACAGTGCGTTTTTAAATTTTCGAATAATAATCTAAAACTCTTATTTGATGAATAAATTTAAGTAATTTATTTGTATATATTTTCATATATAAGAAGAAGTATTTTTTCTTAAATATTAAGTATAAGAATGTCTTTTCTTCTCTTCTAGCAGAATAATAATGAGTAATATATATTTTAGGAAGAGTACATATAGTTAATTATATAATTGACTTTTAATTATTAATTATATATAATTTTTTATATACAATGCATGTAAAAAAAGTTACATTATACAATAATTTGAGAAATAAGATTAAATAATTTTTTAAGAATAAGGACAAAGCGATAATCATTTAAGAAATTTCTTGAAGTAGTTAATGCTATTTACTATTGGGTGCGATCGCTTGACCTGTACAACACATGCATTCATTATCATGTTTAACGCGAAGAAAATCAACGTGACGTGTGTGAACGAATCCATTTCCAGGTGTGACTTCGCGTCTACATACACTCGCACATAACAGACACTTTGCACTTCTTACAGTTTCTCGGATTGTGGTACATAGTACAGTACTACGCAAGCTCAGAAGAAGCTCTTGCGTACAGATGCATGAGAGCCGAGCTCTCGATTTCGCCCGAAAATGCCGAAGTTACTATGAATTTCACTTACAGCTTTACTGATGATCCCATTAATGAGCTACTCGTTGGTAACATCACATGGAAAATTCCTTCACCGGACTTACCTGCTCATTGGATACACGCTGAGTTTCCGTGTAAATAACTCTATTTGTCTTTAATTAATCTAATTTTTTTTACTTTTCGGCGCATTGTTATATTATCGGAGAAATATTTCAATTAAAAATTTTTTTTTTTAAATCAAATTAATGTTTTTCCAATTTTTTAATTATTTTATAATAACATTAAATATAAATGTTTGTTTTTCTTTCAAAATTCTCCAGCTGAAAAATATTTTCTTATGAAATTGTTACAATTCGATTACATCGTTAAAATACATATTGAATTTTTTTAAAAATAGTGCCAAGAAAGAGAAAGCTCATACATTACAATAATTTAATATAAAAATTTAATATATTTTAGATGAAGGGGTATACAATACATATGTGTTAGATTCAGATTATAAATCCTGGGCCTTACTAATGCATTGTGCTGAAAAGAGCAAAAGTCCACGATATTTATCTAGCTTGATTATGAGTCGCGAATCGAGCCTTGGGACAAACGTCATTTCTTATCTTCGAGAGAAACTGCCTAGGTACATTTATCTTGTTTTATAATATTATTGCGATTAGAGATTTCTTCAGAACTTTGTCAGTTGAAAAATCTTTCAATGTGTGTGTGTGTGAATATCGATAATATATTTCAAAATGTTATGCTAGTTAATACAAGACCTCTCTCATAGTCTACATATATTTTGAATCATTGATTTTAAATATCGTATATTTTCGAGATGTTTTATCAATAATATTTCTTTCTCTGTTAAAAGAAAATAGATTTATTATTTTCTTCAAAAAATAAATTAAATGTTTTCTTCAAAAAATAAATTAAATGTTTTCACCAAAAATAATCTTTCCCATAATAAAACGAATTATTTAAATTAAACTGCAACATATTTACTATTATTTTATAAGATTATCAAAAATACATTTTTCCTTTTTAAAATGTAGATATGACATCGATTTGGAATATATGTTTCCTATGGATCAAACACAGTGCAATAAAACCGACAGTTTGGAAGATGTGCTTGTACCAGTGTCGACATCAACCAAGAGAGACTACGCCAGCAGAAGACATCCGTTAAGGCGAAAACATAGACGTCAATTGCAAAAAAATATAGACAATGTAAAAAATTGATACAAAGAACATAAATGTAAATTGTCTTCAAATTAAACACCTTCATTACTTTGGGCTAATTTTATTAATTCAATTAACAACGTGTGTTATAATACTCTTCGTCTCTTCCTCTTATTTATAATTACATAATTGTAATGAACTTGTTATTGTTTTCTTTAGACCCGTCGTCTCTCTCAACATCTTAGCACAACTCACCCAAATTAACCGACACACACGTGCAACAGCACGTACACGTAATCACGATCACCATTATCATCATCAACATCATCATCATCATTATCATTAGCATAACAGTCGTCAGATTATCACTCAACGCACCTAGTACTTAATTACTGGATATGGCAGCTACAACTTATAAGAAATATTACAAAATCACTTGTGACTCATTCTCCTCGCGCTTTCACAACGTTTTATGCATACGTACGCAATCACACCGAGGCGGACAATCCTTTTTTTTCTTTTTTTCTCGTGAGTGTCCCATTACTCACTTACAAATTCATATCTGGCTCCGTTAAAATCGGTTCTGTCCGGTATTAGCGTCGTCGATCCTCGCGAGCGCGATATTCCGACTTCCCCGTCGTTTGCGTTTCTGAAATATATAATAATCAAGTGTGCGCTTTTGCTACACGGCCAACTCGTGCATAGTCTTGCCGTGATCGCTCAGCGTGCAGAATAGGAAGAACGCACCCCGGGGGAGTAAGACGCGCGCCTAAGTTCGCTTATGTGTACGTATATTTCGAGATCATTGCGACGATAAGGAATGCGAGGAAGGCTGATCGACGAAAGCCCGAACAGATCCACGATGAGCGCCGAAGTTGTCAATCAATAAATTATCACATCGCGCCTGCATGTATACACACATTCACTCCTTCGTTCTACGGGCATATGCATATGCAAATCACCTATTAGTTTCCTAATAATTCTTTTAGTATTAATTAGTCATACATTTAATTTTTTTTCTTTAATCACTTGTAAATTAATTATCTAGTCGTTAAATCTGTATCTTGTAAATCTGCATTCGCGCGCATACGACTGCTTGCGTACACGCTCGTACGTTTTTTTACGCGCGTGCGTGTATGAGTGTAATTGTGAACGAGTAGATGTGCGTGTATGTGCGCGTGGCGTATAATAAACTTGTACGTATGTATGTAGACGCGTGTGCCTGTGTGTGTATGTATGTGTGTGTGTGTGTGTGTGTGTGTGTGTCTTTCTGCGCGAAACTGTCTCCTCATTATTATTTCATATAGCTGGTAAACTACCTATTTATTTGAAATTTACGTTTTATAAATATCCTATAGTAAACCGCGATTTTTTTTGTTTTGTTACTTCGTCATTCGATCTCATGCGCTTTTGTACGAGGGTGTAAGTAATGCGAACAGAGTGGCATTGTAGTTTTGACATATGTGCCCATGTGTATATACGTATGTATGTATATGGCGCATGTGTGTGTATGTGTATCATGTATCAACTTAATAATCGCATACAAGTTCTTTCGAGTGAGAGCGTAGAGTTCTCGCTGCCGGATCGATATCCGCCGCCCGTGCATTCGTCCGAGATATGCGGTTCGATTCCGGGTTTCTCCTGTACAGAGTATAAGAGCATCGCAATCTCGGTGGTGAATATTTGAGCTGATAATGTTTCATGAACAATAACGACAAATGGCAATGGCATGGGCGAGTGCACGGCCAAGCGAGGAAGCGAGCGAGCCCGTCCCGCTCCAACGGCGGTCCCGATTATCGAAAGTATAGGAAAAAAGCTCGGTGAGTTAGGAATAAAGAGGCAGAAAAATGAAAGAGGACGGTAAGAGAGAAGGATAGAAAAGACGGCACTGAACGTAAAAAGCGCTCGTAGCATACGCATAGATTTGTCGCAATAGGATTCTTTGCGACAAGAGATGAACACTCGTTAGATATTAGTAGAAGTACTAAGACGAAACCGGCGAAGTTCTCTACTGCTTAAAGTTACAATTAAATGACGGACGGCCGGCAGCACACCAGAGTTCATGTTCTTCTTTTTTCTCCCTCTTTTCGATTGAACGGTATCAGACGGGTTTCGATTATTACGATAGGACCCTTGTCTTTTGCTATATGTGTGTGTGTGTGTGTGTATATATATATATATATATATATATATATATATATGTATATATATATATATATATATATTATATATATATATTAACGGGCACTGCCGTGCCGCACGATCTCTAGCTTTTTTTCGTTTAAATAGTTATAATAAAGTACGATAGGAGGCAATTACAGTTTATGGAAAGTCGACTGATAGATTTCGCAGGGTAGGTAAGATACGAAAGTGCAGCCATTCGCTTGACATCCGCATGAAACATGAACGGCCATGTTTTTTCATTTGGTTTTCCGTAAACGAGATATATTCTTTGGTGCTTGTTGTCGCATGTTACCGTCGCATGTACCGTGTCTCCACACACACGTCGTGACGACTGCTTCTAGGATAGGTGTAAATCGTGAGAAATTCATGTGAAAGGTTCGCTGAAACTGTGCCAGGGATGCAATAGACTGTATAGAATAGAGAAAGACATGCATTCGTATAGTAGCCTCGTTCAAGAGAAGTTTCAGCTGATCGGTTTTCTGTTTATCTCTTTATATTTTCGAAGTTTCGAAAAAGAGAAGGAAAAAGAACAAAAGGAGAAGTGCAGGAGAAGTTGGTGGTCCGCGAGAAGGCGTCCGTTTTTAGACGCATTGTGACGTGATTATCATCACTGATTTCGCCGTGCTTGATGATGGCGCGTTCCAAATTTCTGGAAGGTCCAACGTCTCGATAGTGGACGCGGCGATGACGCTCATCGACGTCAGGACGACTCTGACACGTCGCTAATTTCCCCTCGTGTCCCGCGACTGGTAACAACTACGCAGCGAGATGGAAAAAACTTCATGAACACACGGCCATCATATAGTACACGCACTCCGGTCGATCGTTTCACCGTCGAGTCGATCGACGTCGAGTACGTTTTTCTGGTTTATATCCGATTGGTCCGACATAACTGCTCGCGGCGCGTTCCTGTCGGATGCCGGCAGCTGTCGGCGTTGCCGTCAGATCTTTGCGACGAGAGGCTGGATCGCGAGCCGATAGCCGTTATGGTGCCGGCGATCACTGTTTCATCCTCGACGAGCCGTTGCAGTCCATGGTAGTGATCTGACGAATCGGCGAAGACCGCTGTCAGTAGACCCAAGAAACGGGCACCCATTGAGGTGTCGTGTGCACGCGCTCGATCGCGGCTTCTAGCTGGGCGATCGTTTCGTCGAGATCGTTGTTCACGATGGTCAGGTCGAAGAAGTGTCCGTATGCCTGCTTCAGCATGTCCGACTCCTTCGCCAATCGTTCCAGACTGCCGTCGAACTGAAAACACAAGTGATATTGTTAGAAAAATCATGTAATGATATATTCAGTTAAAAAATTAATTAAAATTTTCAAAAAAAAGAAAAATGTTTCGATAAAATTTTCTACAAAAATTATTCGTCTTTTTACATGAGAATTCTGCATATCATTATTTATGTTGGAGATTAATTAATATGCGCTTAAGTCATACGAACACTATAAATATAAATATTATTTTTTTATAAAAACGATATATAAATCATTTAAAAAACATATTTAGTTATATACATTATGCAGCTTACGATAGATATAGATATGTGTATCAATTTATATTACATTTATATTATAGTATCATCTAAGCCTTATATTTTTTAGTGATTTTCTCAAGCATATAACAGATTATAATGATGGTCGATTAATCATTCAGAATAAATGGATATTACCAATAATTATTTGTCCGTGGCTAATCTATAATTCATTTGAAGATCGTTTAACAGTTAGTTTAATCTCTTAATCGCCATGCAAGCAATATTGGCTCGTGTTATAGCTATGAATCAAGAATTGAAATACGTTTAGCAAATAGTACAATATTCACACATTATCTAGCAGTATTTTCTATAGAATCTAGAAACGTTATTACAAATGTAATCTTTCGTTCAACATTAATCTTGTATCTTATATAACAAACTTTCTAGCTAATAAATCTATATTATTTTTTAATTAGAAAACTATGAAAAGATAAATTTATATATATTTTTTATATAGTATTTATATAGTGTTTTTAATTCATTATATTATTTTAACGTATTTATAGTATATTAATATATTTTATATATTAATTTAATGCATAAAGTAAATATAATATCCTATATAATTAAAATATATATAATTATTTTATTTTGATAAGCTGAATCGTGATAATAATTTTAATAAGTTGTTAAAAATAAAATTAAAAAATAGCAAAGTAATGTAAATATTATAACACTGTGATTCTTAAAGATAAATGTTTTCCGTTGTTTATTATGAGATACTATTCGTCATACAATTAAGTTATAAATAATTTCATAATAATTGCACAAAAATTAACAAAATATTTTAATATTTTATCAATTTAAAAATGTCTTTGTTTTTTACTGTATTTTTCATATCCACCATATATATGCATATATATCATATTGCAATAAAATACGTTTGATGCAATCCATGTGCAAGTACGTTATATGTTTTCAAAAAAATATTCAAGATATACAATGTATGTTTAATTTATTAAATAATCTTGCGAAAAATTATTTTTATACTTACGTCCGTAACGTTTGCAAATGCAGGTGCAGCTATGAAGACGACGTAAGGTGCAAATTCAGCAGTCCGTAAAACCTTCAGTGCCTGCGGTTCAACATCTAATATGGCCATTCTGCCTTCTTCGTGTATTTTACGAATAGTTTCAAGCTTAGTTCCATACATAGCGTCTTCGTGTGTACCTGTTTATATAAAATAAATATTTTAAATTTGATGCTTAATTTTATGCTTTCTATGTATTTAACATACACTATTTTTGATTGATCTATCATTATATGTTTCGATTGATCTATCATTATATATTTCTCATCGTTGATGATTACTGTTTTCAAGAAATTTTAAATACGATAAAATTTGTATAAGTATAATTTACCGTATTCGAGATATTCATTAGCAGCTATATCTGCCATCATTTCATCGTGAGATACGAAATAATAATTACGACCATTCTCTTCGTCGCTTCGTGGAGGCCTCGTTGTATCTGCATAAGGAAACATATTTTATAGTATTAAATATTCCGAAAAATATATTTTACACAATTATTTAATTTCACATACACATTTTTTAAAAATTTTATAAAAAATTTAAGATATTTACGCGGAATAGGATAGGCGTATTTATCGGGATGTTTGGAAATAATCGTATTCTTTATATGTCGTCGACCGACGCCATGTGCTCCCAATAATACTAAAGTTTTCCGTTGGAAGGCAGGATCTGTAAAGAAAGAAACAATTTGATAATTAATGATTACATATATTTTATGTGTAAGCTACAACATTCATATGATTAAATTAAACCTGGATAAAATTTAAAAAAATGCTAACAAGTTATACTTTAATAAAAAGATCCCTAATAATGTGAGAAAAAAATATCTTTAATTATAGAAAAAAATTATAGAAAATAGTAGAAAATATAATTATAGAAAAAAATAAATATTGCATATCTATGCCATATTAAATAATTTGTCGATCATATATGAAAAATCGTAAATAAGACTTACAAGGAAGCTTCACGACCTCTTCGTAGGTCACCAGATCCAGCTGGTCGAAAACGGCGTTGTGCTTTGCAAGATATTTATCCTTGTATTGCTTCTTTTTCCGGCCGAATATTGAGCAATTTACTGTAAACAGAAACGATCGTTAATATAGATGGCGGCGAAATTGGAGACGAGGCAATATCTCGACTCGAAAATGTCTTTCCGGTGTAAACTTGCAAATTACTGTGCAAGTGTCATGTTACAGAATCCATTATCCGTGCTAACAAACAAATCCCGTGCCTTTATAGCATCGCTGAACGACCGCAAAATTGATTTTAAAGAACGATGACATACTGTGTACCGTCACATAGCGAGACAGATTCACAAATTCATTTATCGTGTATCAATTGTGTGCCAGAAATTAGTAAATAAAAATTATTTCTTTATGATACGAGTTATAAAATTTTATCACAGAAGTTTCCTGACAATAAAACATTAATAATGCAATTTATCTCACGAGGAGAAGGAACATGAAAAATACCATTATTTTTTTTTAAATCAGATGCATAAGAGGTCGTTTGTGTCGTTAAAATATTTCCTCTGATTATTTCTCCTAATAAGTACTTCGCCTATATAATATAACGTATTATCCTATTAAAAACATATATCGATATGTGCACTAATGTTAGCAATCCTTTGAAACATTTCGAAAATCAACGAATCACGCCGACACGAAATAACGAACTACTCTGCGAATATCGAGTCCTGGATCAAGCAAAATCTTGTCTATTGGAAAAAGAATTCATTCTCAGTCAGCCAGTTCGAAAGAAGCCATGCCCAAAGGCATTTGGGAGTCCTATTAAGAGGGGTGTTCCAGCAGGTCACAAGATGACAACGTAAGATTCGTGATGTAACTGATGCGTGAAATCTTAGATAGGTATTATAATCGGAGCCATGATGAATTGCATCGTGAATTTTATTTCCGTGATTATTAGAGCTACTGAATATGCTAGGAAGATTTCTTGTGTGCGAAACTACAACGCAAAAATATTACAACTGTAAATAATGCATGGCTGCGGGTAAATCGCGATATCTTGCCAAAATATTTGGACGATCGAGAAAGTTAACAGTTAAAAATATTCAATATGTATAAAACATAAAAGAAAAGTTTATCTCTCTCGAACATAAAATTATGTGATAGTTAAATTTATTCATTTCTCCTATATTTGAAATTTTGGCAAGATATTTGTTGACAATGTGTATCATTATTTGCTAATATCTAAAACAATCGATTAATTATCTATCACAAATTCCGATTATAATCGTGCTATCACGTATGTTTATGAATGATCGTGCGCGATAAGCATAAGTGCATGAAATGTTTTGCAGCAAATGCATGCATTAAAGCACGCTATGTAAAAGCATCCTATTAATCTATAACACAGAATATCATAGCATCTATATTAATAAATTATTATTAACATATTGCTCACATTATTTTATTTATGCTTATAACATTTTATGTGATGTGTTGCAAAATTATTTACACACAGATCTAGAAAATAAGAATTTTTTAAAGAATTTCTTAAATTTTGTTTTTTGCTTTCTATAATCGTATAATTTAACAATACAATTTTTTATAAATTTATATGCAATGAATAAAACTAATAATATTTTTAAAATTAATGCGCAAAATTTATCAAAGAAACAATTTCTGAATTGTAAAGAATAAAAATTCTGTGTTATTTTTTTTAACAAACAATTATAATTTTAGAGTAAGCAGTTACAATACAGATTAGCTTATGTATTGTATGTATTGCACAAATATTTGTTCATTATGTAATAATTATGATGCATTTTTATATAAAATAGCGAGATATGTACATATAAAGTATAACTTTCAAAATTTCTTATCCAGATAATTTATTCATACTAATTTCGAAGCTAAATAAAAGCTCAAATATCTTATACAATTCTTTGTCAATATTTTATTTAATCACTTCAATTGAATGCAATGAGTGAATAAAAAAATGCGCGACCATTTACATTATGAAATTGAACGTGATAAATTTCATGATATAAAATGAGTTATTAAAAGCATGACCATCTTCCTTTTGTGTAAATGAAGAGAGATGTTTGTCCTACTTTTTCTATCTCGCCTTTGTATTGATGTGTGTTAGAAGCATAGATCCAGTCTGTATTTCATGCGTCTAAAATGGTCCTCTACGTGTCTCTACACGTGTCTACCTGAAGGCAGAGACGTACCTGTCGAACCGTCGCAGCCTTCGGTGTGAGAAGAACATCCACCTTCTCCTTCAGCATCTAGCCGCGCATAACACACAACAACAAATATATCATCTGCAGCTAATTATTCCTGTAGAGCTAGTTCTCCGTTTACCTATCCCTAATCCGTCTCTTATGCCATCCACATGTGTCAACAGGCATGTAGATATAGAGATACATGACAATCCAAACTTTTTCTTGCTATATATTCTTAAAGTATCCAGCTCCTCGTTTGCACGATAATTTCACAATTAAATCTCTAACACGATTTTTCATCATACTTTAAAGATGTAAAATTACTTATTTACCTATTTCTTATTTTCTCTCTCAATTTTTCCACTTCATGATCTTTTTATATATATTTTTGGGGGGTTTAGAGACTATTCTATTATAATATAAATTGTAATATATATTATAATATTCGATTATAATATATATTGTAAAGAGTTGTAAAATATATTACATAAAATGTGAAATCTCCAGAATCATGAATCATCTTATATACAACATTAACTATCAATTGCTTTTCCCAGCAGCACTTCTTTTTTAAAATGCTTTACGACTATCACAAAGACGGTAGCATTTTAAGATTTTACAGTTCAAGTAGTAAATATTCAAAGTAATGGTTATGTTTGTTCTTTATTTTCAGCATCTGGAGATGATAGACGCATTTAGTCAAATGGTCTCAAGAACGTTCATATCTCTAACTTCGAGATTCGAAATCGATACGCATATGGAGTATAAAAATTAAAACTAATTTAAAAAGTATAATATTTAAAATGAGATTCAATCTCTCTAAGCGTAATTAATTAAAGCTTAAATCATACATTTAATGCTAAATGTAATTATTTGATTATATGTTTAATTTATTAAACAAAAGAATATAATATATATTATATTCAATTTTGATCAAAGTCATAATCACATTTAGCACTAAATGGCGATGTACATTTGCAGTTTTAGAAGTTTATATATTGAATTGATTAAAGTAATTCCTTTTCTCTCTGATCCCCACTTTCTCTCATTTAATATTTATTATCATTTAATATTATGATTTACATATCGAACATCACAAACTATAATAAATCTATTAATTATTCATTTTATTCATGTTATCATAGAATTGACAATTATGATTTAAAGATAACTGTTAAAACGCATAATTTTTGCGCGATATTTCTTTTAAAATGTAAAAAAATTGAAATAATTTTTTAGATTATTTCCTATGTACATTAAAACTATGATAAAAAAATACGGAATATCTCAACCATAAATTTACGGATGTCAATTTCCGTTTTGTTTTTGTTCAAGATGCCACGTGGATTAGTGTCACTAAATGACAATTATCTAACTAATTTGTAGCGAATGATATGTTATCGATACACGTCTCATTTGTAATATAATTGATTGATAACAATGATACCGCATGCTCCATCGAAAACCTGTACACATCGAACAACACATAGACGACATCATGTTTCATTAGCACATTCGTTTTTGGCAGCATAAAAATTAATGGGAATCGATTGGAATCATTAGATGTGATAGGATGATAATGGATTGATTGAACGGCGGTGAAAGAACGTAGTAATAACGATTTTCTCAATCGGTAAAATTCTGATTTTCTGATCGGTATTCGAAAGAAATTCTGCGATCTGCTGGAACCTGTGATTACTGCACACTCTCTCTATTCGAGTTTTCAACAGAAATTATCTTTGAGTTAAGCGTTAAACGTTTAACGTTCCTATAATTTCAGAGAAAATTTTTCTTTTCGAAAGTACTTTAGAATCATCGTTAAAACTCTCACAACAAAGTTAGAAAATATTATATTTTTTTTTTAGTTATTCAAAATTATGAAAAATGAAAAAAAAAGAATATATTCTACATAATTATTTTGTTATTAAATGCACATTCTTTTGTGTTTTCAGATGGCTTCCATTTTTACGCAGAATAACATTTTGACAGTAAAAATAAAAGGAAACCTATTCATATTCTCATCAAACGATGAAAACAGGATCTCAACAAGAAGACACGCCATAAATATCGTTTTTCATTTTTCGTTACCGTATCTGATATTGGAAACGCTATTTGTGTCCTATGGATAAACAATTTTACATAAATAAACGAGCAAACAACCAAGTTGTATTACCTTGTTCTTGTTTGTTCTTCTCCATAGACATGCAGGCAATGCGCCATTCTTGAAGTTCAGGCGAAGGGATAAGACCCGCGGAACCAGCCGCATTATCCTTTCGCGCTTGCCACCAATGATGATCATCCTTGCTGATAATTTGCAGAATGTCACCGGTCTTAAAGGCGATTCCAGCCTGCGCGCAAGGTATCAGTTCGTCCTCCAATGGATCGTAATCGAATTGTGCTCGAACGAAAATCTGTCGATACAGTGAAAAACACATTAAAATTTCTCAGAAATGGTAAAAATATCGTTGTTATAAAATTACTATCAAGTTTGATATCAAGGATTTCACTTTGTGTGCTAACATATTTATATAATAAGAGAGAAATGATAAAACTAATTATAAAAAAGAATTACACTCAGGATATACAAAGTAAAAAAATATGATATGCGTAAAAGATACGAATATCGAATCGCATAGTGAAATCATTAATATCGCTTTAGGATTAGTGAGAAAAAAATGTCACCAACAACAATAGATTCTGGACCATAAAACGTGACTAAGATATCGTTCTACGGCTAAATCGATCGCTGATAAACCTACATAGCTCTGCGCTAGACATAGCGAACGAATCTAGATATTGCGAGAGAGAAGCGAAAAAATGCGATGTAGTAAGCACTGGCAATAGCTCTTGCAAAGAGTAGACAAATACGATGTAGAGTAGGTAATCATTAGAGCACTCGCGCAAGTTTGTTCAAATTGCGGTGTATCGATATTACAAAGCGTATAAAATACAAATTCACACGTTTTATCTCGAGACAACCAGCGATCGATTCGTAGCTCGATTTCGCCACATCGCTTAAAAGTTAGAAGGAAGGGGACACGCGCGAAACAAATTTCCAGACGAGATATTCGCCGGTCTCCGAAACGTCGCTGTATGACGTTTTGCAATCGGTACGCAGTTAGAGGTCATCGACTCGAAACGGGCCGTGCGGCTTTTACAGTCAATTGGTACAATCATCGGCTCGGGGGGGGATTCTTCAATCGGAGAAACGCGGGAGTATCGTGCGAGTTTTTTTGTCGCGTAATGCCACCAGCGCTATGATTTGGTCATTTAGCGATACACAATAGGTATTTACATGTAAAGGCATGTACATAGATATACGTATATGAGTGTAATTCCGTTTTTTTTTCTTTATTTTATAAAAAAAAAGCTCAAGCACTAGTTGCTGCACATCACGCAAAACAGACGCACATGTATACGCGCACGCACGCATACCGAAGATGCATGATGCAGATATGCGACGCGGCCACTACATGAATGTGTGAGTAAAAAACGACGCATAAAGAGGTGGGCATGATGAATAATATGGTTGCACAATGACGAGAGTGGCTTCTGGTTAACGCGTGTGTCATTCGTGAGAAACACAGACAGCCGCGGAAATATTTAATTAATATATATGGAAACGCGCGCGAGGATATTATGGGGAAGAGCAAGAAGACTGATTGATTTCATTGATTCCGTACGAATATTACTCTTATACAGATATCATAATTATATATTGAGTTTAATTACAATTAGAAATTTTGTTTGAATATTTTTGAGAGTTAGAATATCGACAATCCTGAACTAATTAACTCATATATACTAATTATGTGCGTTGGATGGACAAGAATTTACGAATCGTGGCTGAATATATTCTGCTGTTTTGCTTAGCAAATAATTTATAATATTTTAATATTTTCTAAAAACAACTTTTTCTTATTTGATATAAATAATTTGACACATTAATATATCATCATCAATCAATTAATATCGATAATATTCGTACAGGAATGTCTGTGTTATAAGTTTTACATATCGATAAAATTGTATGGTTACTTAGGGTTGCTGATTTCTAGTAACAGAGCACCCGAACATTCGATTACAATCCGATCATAAAATCGTTAATGTATAAGTAAATAAAATATAAAAACATATACGTTATAATACGTAAAAAAGTTATAAGTTTCATGCGTATTGATACATGATAATATTAATCGCGTATAAAATGTTCTATTTAGGAAAAAGATATTTATGGGTTAAAATCAAATCAGCACAAAGTATAAAATCAAATTTAGTAACTTACGTTCGCTCTTAATTCTCGAATCGTATGGCAATTGCAAGATTTTAGGTTCCGCAATTTCGAAAATTTCGGATATAATCAAATATACAAGAATTTTCGCGGACATTCGATTAATCGTAATATTGCGATCCCTGTCAACGTGTGGCATTGTCTGTAGATTTTTAAAAGCTGTATGTCTGTGCTAGCGTTATGTCAGCAAGTGCTCATTTTGGAAATGTCGAATCAATCGAATTCAAGCATAAGAAAGAGCCACACGTTCTCAGGCAGGATAATTACCTTTTCACACATCAGTGCTTTAAGGAGTGAAAAAATTTCTTTTGATAAAAAATACATGGACGTTCAGACTAAAAATATAAAAAAAAAATATTAAATATTATTAAATTTATTTACATATATTACCAGTAAAATAATGCAACATTACTTTTACACATTCATTTATATTTATATTTTTTTATATTCGCGAAATTTAATTAAAACAATTTTCCTTTTGATTTCTAACTTTTCACAAACTATTAATAATTTAAAATTAAAATAGCTTAATTACAATTAAAATTTTTCCTTAGCTTCTAATATGTATAATAAATTCCTGCACACACTAAAGATAGAGCTATATATGTACTTTTTTTTACAGGCTTTTCTTTTATTTCTAAAGCATTCCTCTGAGCGTCCATGCGAATGAAATTTTCTCGTATATAGGCACATAAGCGAATGTATCGATATGCATTACTCGCGCTTGAGGACTCCTATCGTGAAGTAGAGGCGTCGCACAGAAAAAACGCGGAATTAAAAAGGAAAACCGATAGACACGAAAGTCCGAGTAGAGAGTTCTACTTTTCAGCGATGGCGTGTATAGGTAATAGGAGCAGAGATAGAGTATGAGGCATGTAATGTATATATGAATGTAATATATTATATATATATATATATATATATATATATAATATATATATTTTATATATATAAATATAATATATATATAATTATATATATAAAAATAATATGTATACGCATAGCCTTCTAACTACAGCAGTCCAATCACACCAGATCAAGTGGCGGTACTTACTAACACTGGCAGAGGCTTAATCCTGAACAACTAGAGTGTTGAGGAAACAGAAAAAAAGGAAGATCAATTAATTAATATGTTTAGAATCGCACCAAGCGTAATACGAATTAATTGAAGGCCGCCCCGCGCACGTTGCGCGGGGGGGTGAAAAAAAGTGATAAGAATGATACAATCAACGATAAAGAGCACCTACGTTGAGTCGCACGCGTCAACGCTTCCGAGATGCACGGTGCGCATTGCTGTGTGGCACATGCAGGCTTTACTAGATCTTCGTACTATTATAGACAGAGATATTTCGTACCCTCGACGCTTACGAGCGTTGGGCTACCACGCATAATCTACGCGTAAAATATCTGAATAAAAACAGCTACAGCTTTGAAGTATTTAAATTTTCAGATATAAAAAGAGATTAATTTTACGCAAAATATTACATTTCTATTGTCACGAATAAACATAATGATTATTCTCGTGTGTCTGCATCATCGAGATGTGGGTTCGCCAAAATTATGCAAATCTCTGATTAAAGTCATCACCTGTAACAGCATTCTGCACTGTAAATCAGCGACATTTTTAATTATTAAAAAATAATCAATAATTATATAATGTTATAATGATAAGAAAATTCTGTTCTTTTATTGAAGATGTGTAGAATAGAGTGTTTAAAGTAAATCTTGCATAAATTATATGGTGCATTAATTAGTTATCTTGTACTGTGCCAATGATGCCGATGCAGTACAGAATACCGTCATTGCTATGCAATCTGATTAATTATTAAAAACAAAGATCTTTTTATTATTGTCTGCCTGTGTGCATGCTTGGATTTTATACGTGATATTGTACGCATAGATTATATCGTTGTTTTCCGATTCATGCCCAACACCTGTTACGAATCGACTGTACGAAGTAATTTTGAGCTCGCAGTTCTGTGGCACGTGCGATGAGCGTGGCGCGGAAATGCGAGTTTCGAGCGAGAACTCTCGATGCTTTCCATCGGGAAGTCGGGAGGAATCAAAGCGGACTGATACACTTAATAACAATCTAATGCTCGTGGTACACCTCGCGTTTTATGTGAGAGAGAAGTTCCCTTGCGCGCATTGGAAATAAAACTTTCAAGCAGGAGCAAGCTGGTAGAAGTTCTCGTAGTTTACCTCCAATTGTATAAAATCCGCGATTAGATCACTGTTGAAATTAACAGGAGTACGCGCGACTAACTTTAGCTCGAATCTTTCTGAATTTCGCATAAATAATTAGAGAGAGAGCTTGTTTCCGGCGAAATGTTCACAAGTTGGCGAGAGACACTCTACTAACGCTTTAGAGCCTCGATAGAGTCTTAACTTGTCGTACTCGCAACAACTTTATTGTCACATTGCGGCTTCATTAATAACTAGTTTAATATCAAGTAAATTATGCGATAATTAATGACTTATAATACATCTGACCGAATATCGAATCATGTATAATTAATTAGGAAATATATATGTATATATAATCGAATATATATAAAATATTTAAAATATTGTATTTCAATAGAAAAATGTATTTAACCGAGAAAAATGGAGGGGAGAGCAAAAATATTAAATTTTAAAAATGTGGAATGCACATATTTTATAAAAATATTCTGTGAATCGGCTTCATATAATATATTTATTTAATGAATAATTGGAAATATCTTCAAATTTTATTTGCACGAGAGATGTAATACTAATGTAATATACTGAAATATCCGGAGATAGTTTGTAATGACCGACAAAGGATGTTAAATAAATGACTACATGAGGATATCTTCCGTCAATAAATTCTATTCGGGGCGTAAAATAATGGAGACAAATTACATGTTGGAATTAATTATCTGAGCAAATGAGAGAGTTTACTACGAATATAATTCTTGAAATCTAATATATTTTTGTGACAGCTCGATATTATATCTATTTTCCGCAACTCCAATTCCGATAGAATTCATATCCTGTCTGTATCCTGTATATAGTATAGAAATTTCCATTTCTATCTGATTACAAATTCCTATCTCGCTCCGATTCGGACGGGAGGAATAATGAGGCGAGTTCCTTTTATGAAACCGATTCCGCAGAGCTCGGCAACGACGCGACGCGTCCCCAAACTTCTCCCAGGCCGCACTGTTCGAATAAAGTCACCGCGAGCGATTGTGCCCATCCCGTTTCCATAGTAACGTCGCAGAGGACAGTGCATGGACATAGTGGTTTAGTATGTGGGTTTCCGACGTGCATTGGAAGCTGCGCTCTACTTCAAAGAAGAAATGAACGGGCGAACGATGGGAAGAGGTTGACGATGGTATGCTGCTGATGGGATTTTCAGGCGACACTGGGAAAGACAATTCTACTCAGTGATATAGCAGGTACTGCGCTATCGACAACTCGTCTGGTGGACTGACTGCTGCTGATGCTGCTGAATCCTCTTGTCGATTTCCATCGGGACCGGACTATCTGCTTCCGAGTGCCAGACCGAAGAGTCAAGCTTCGGTCTTGCCTTTCGAAAGGAGGGAGATAAAAGGAATCGTATCGCAGTGCATATAAAATAATTCGATTGACAATATTGCAATTATCTATCAACGGCGGTAGATTTTACCTGATTGAATCAAAAACGTGCGTTATATCAATCAATCAATATTTTTCATCATCGCTATCAGCTTGAATCGCGATTGAAAAACCTTGGATTTTTTAAATAATTTATATCTTATATTAATAATATCATGATATTGTTCTTGAATCTTAACATATCTTAATGAATCTTAATTTTCACGTTTTATGGCTAATTAATATAATATTTGATAATTCATATCGTATGTTTGTATACTATTAAATATTTTTGCGAATTAAATCGAATCAATCATTAAGTATTATATATACTGCGATACGTTTTCTTTCAAGAATCGATTGTGCTTTTGTAAAATAATTTTTCAGTCATTATTGTGAGGGGCAAATTTCTATATGGATCACGAACATCACAGATAATGTGTGTGTGTGTATATATATATATATATATATATATATATATATATATATGTATGTATATATAGGTCGGGGTTTATTAAAGTGAACACACACAGACACGTAGAGATTATAGCCAGGTAGAGAGAGATTATATCCTATTTTATCCATGTACTGCATTTAATATTGTGTGAGGCGTGCGTTATGATTGAGGATTAACGAACAGTAATGCCCGAGGGTGAGAATAAGGGTGAGATAAAATTATAGTTGCCGAATATTTTTCCATCGCTCGCGGATTTACTCGAAAAATTGGTATCGCGTTTTCAGTTTATTCCAAACGTCGTCCGATATAAATATTACAAATACTTTCCACACGCGATCGTAGAAACGTACGTACGAATCATATTTTCGTTTCTCGTGGCATATTCTTCACGAGGCAGAGAACGTCATAAATCGAAAGTACGACTCGCTGGCAGAAGCAGAAGATACGCACGTGCTCAGAATAATATCTGAGAATAGCGAGATTGAAGGATCAATTTCGACAAATAGGATTTCAGTGCATCACGCGTTTAATCCGCGTCGTATTATGTATGGAAAAACAGCCGTGAATGAATAATGTATCGAAAAATATCAATGCCTCGTAGGACACATGTTACCGAAAAATATAATAATCATTACATATTTAATTATTATTAAAGGTCTCAATTTTTATATAGTTCACAAATAATTAAGATGCTTCTTCGTATAATTAAAAAAAAAATACATTCTTTGTACATTGATTATAATACTGAATTTATCCAATATACGAAACTCTACATTAACATCGTGTATACTCGTCACGTGCGAAAGAAGTTTATTTTCGCTAAAGTATTTTATGGCGATCGACCTCTCCCGCGCTACCACGCAATTGCGAAAAAGATTGAACTAATTTACTCGAGACGTCTAATGAGAGATCTTGAGATGCCTTCGTGCGAGGCGATAAAGTGTCAACAACGATTCGAGCGCGATCGTTGCATGGTGCAAGAGCGATAAACGGTAATGGAGGATGACAATACTGAGGGGCATGTTGAACACATCTGAGCATGTGTGTCTAATGGAACAGACGGACAGACAGACAGTTGTTGCGTGTATGTGTGCGTGTGAGTGTGTGTGTGAGTATGTGTGGGGGGGGGACGGGGTGTGCATGTATCGTTCGTCGATTCTATTTCTACGACGGACACGGACAAGAGGTCACGTTATACAGGTAACGTGCGACGACTCGTGGTGTGTTCCAGCACGGTTCATGCTTTATTATATCTTCGTACAATGCATTGTAGGGTAACAACGCCGCAGCCGTTGCGCTCGCCGATGTTGTTGCCGCTCCTGCCTAAAGGTGCGATTGGGGGGGTTGGGGGGTCCGAGAGTGATGGCGTCGGAAATGCAACGTGGTACGGTCGGGGCGGAGGGGTGTTTATCGTTACCGAGGGTGTCTCGCTTCTCGTGTAACACTCGAGATACCCCTGTCCTCGTTCGTCATCGCGAAACGCCTTTAGGTTACATTGTCTTATTCGTACCATGTCGAGGGATTGTTGCTCATTTCGAATGCGCATACGTCTGCGCGATTATTATTAGCCGTAAATGCTCCCTTTCAATGTATAACGAGTATAATGTAGACGCACGGGACAGAGAATGCTTAACTTTATAAGCTCGTTTTCGCGAAAGACGGATAGCGTTTTGATACGTATTATAGTAGGACTTATTCTCGCCGCCCGATTCGAATGCGTGCACATTTGCAGTTATCAAAAATAGCGATTTTTCTGCAGGCGGCAGTTACTGCGTATCTTAATCGAATCTGGTGAATACGAGTCTCTCGTTCTTGTCGTGTATACTTATTTCTCTCCTCGTAACATTTCTTATAACGTAAAGTGATAGTTAACGTTCATCTGTCCTGCGTCTTTCTACCTTGCACCCCCGAAAGTATAACGAAATTGTATATTTCAGAAAATATGGTCTATATACTATGCAATCGCATATACAGATATTTGTCACACCAATAACTTGAAGTTATACATCGATAAGAGTTCTGCG